AGTCATACGACGGTCGCTATACATTCGGACTGTCGTAAGAATGGAACTCAGTCAATGTCACTGGAGGGCGATGATTTTCCAAGACTACAAATGCGGTTTAAAGCAGCAGGGTGTTGATCGTTTGTGAACAGCCTTTAGTGATGACGAGCCTTCAATAAGCAGTGTTTGAGTGATTTGTGGGACTCAAGCGTGACAGGTGGTCCCTGGATGATGCGGCACGGTATGGTCGATCTGTGTGCAATCGAACCCTATTTACATACCGTTTCAAGCGTTCTGGCCTGATAAGAAATGACAACAATAACGCCACTGCTGTCTGTTTACTACCATGTCCTTCGATCTCTCCAAAAAAACAGTTGTGAAGTTTTTCGGATTCCAATCTGGAATGCGAGAGACACCTACTCTACCGAATGGCTCTGTGCATTTCTTCATGCCTCGTCTCCACGTCATCTGCTGATCTCCACGTGGTTTCCTCCAGCCCGGATTAGCTACAGCGAATAAGGCGCGGTGCGGCAGATGACAGCTGGGAATACACAATACGTGCCCTAGCCAGCGAAGTCTATTGATCTGAATTCGGTGTGCCAGCAGGTTTATACCTGATAGACTCCCAAACACACGACGGCTCCCCTCCACATTACTAACCTTTTCGCTCCACTCAACGTGGGCTAAACTGCGTAAACACCTGCACTGCACCCGAGAAAGGAGAAATACAGATACCCTTTTCATAGTCCGAAACAATTCCACCACTGTTCATGCGTGAGATGAAGGTTAGAAGGAGCGAAGCAATTGTTTGGGTGTACATGAGACTGAGCATTTAGATGTAAAGAGTTGAGAGATAAGCGTATACAAGTGCACACATAAAGAGAACTTTTAAAACAGCAATAACCGCACGTACGTAGCTGATGGCAGAGGCGCGCGATATTGTAGTATACTTCTTGACAATGACCACGGAGTCGTCTGTACTCGCTGATAAAACCGAGAGCCTGGGAATAGAAAGCATTAGAAGTGGATGGTAGTCGTGAGATGGACGGATTTCATAGTGTGAAGAAAATGGCACGGGGTAATAAATAGGATAGGATCTACTACCAGACTTCAAATGAGGACAGACTCTGCTGGGGGTATAGAGTCCCCGAGCTCTGCTACTTGAATATGTACAGGCTGAAGCGCTTAGTATGTGATTTGCGCCACCCGAATGGAAAAGTGCTTGTTCAAAAATGGAACGATCCCGTTTCTGCTATGACAATCAGCTGATTTAAGCTCACAGCATTCTTTACTTCGAGACTGAAGTCACAATAAACAAAAACAAACCTGGTATTTACGACCCTAATGTGTCTGTGACTACACACCAACATTCTCCTTTCCCCCCAGGGTCGGTCAGGAGTTGCGAGTATAATGGAGAGATCCGAGGTAGTTTTCCTCATGATATGCGACAGCTGGAGTAATAAGTACGAATGTTCAGCAATTTTTAGCGTCCAATCCCTGCAGTCCTCAAGGCACCATCCACATCCAGTGGCGACGCATCTTCGTTACAGTAAGCTGTTCTCTAACCAAAATAACTAACTATTCTGCACTATTACGATACAGGCCAATCTTACACCTTTCGTACTGTTCGCGGAATGTGATTCCAAGACCTGGCTCGACGAAGCACTCCGGTAGTCGGTCTACACCTGGGCGTTGGAGCATGACGAGGATAACGTGAGTATCGGTTTCAGATGGGTCATCTCAAACGAACGGAGGATCAGTAGGTTATCAGTAATTTTAAAGGCCATGGTTCAGAAGCGAAATCTGAATCGTGTTTATTACAAATGTGCACCTTGAATTTCTGTGTGAAACCCTCCCCAAACAACACAGAAGCAAAGAAAATAGTTCAAGATGAGTACGATGTTGAACAAAAATAAACAAATCATTATCGTTCCATAAACTAGCCTTACTTGTATGGCATTACATATCGACTTTGCACCTTATTTATTGCAGATAAAAACGAAACTTTCTGTTATGTTCCCGGATTGCCCAGAGTGAGAGGAAGAACAAAGACCGTCTGATCGTCGGATCCGTGTATGTACGAATGAATGTGTTCGCACTAAACCACATGATAAGAGTGATAATCGTGACATCGCAAAAGGTCAAGGTCAGTGACACTGTCTGTTCGCCTGCTGACCATTGGCACTCCTAGCACCTCCCCCCGTAATTCCTCGAGCCTCGTGTGATTTCATTCGTGGGTTAACCTGGAGTGGCTGTGTGAGACGTCTAATACGATGAGGATATCTAGATACCGGCAGATGACCATTTCGTTGTGTAACCAAATCCAACCTTTGTGGATGTGTGTTTTGTGGTCGTGCGGTGTCTGATGGAACATCGTCTAACCACTGGCATATCTGATCATCCGGGATGATATCTTCGCGCTCATCTGGAGTGTACTTTCTTCGTAGTTGATTTGCGTGTCTGATCCACTTTCCTGTTCCTATTTGCAGTTCGTACACAACTTGTCCTCGTTTTCCTGTTACAGTTCCTGAAGTCCATGTTTGACGATATGTTCTGAAGTCTTTTGTATACACTTCATCACCAATATTGAATCCCCGTTTTGGTTGTGACTTTTGAACTCCCATTGGTGCCATACAACGATCGTTTGCGGGTGGTTTAGAGAGCATCGTTTCGCATTTTGTCCTTATTTTCCTCCCCAACAAACATTCACTAGGTGATACAGCGCTTGGCACGTTTTCATTTGGAGTGATTCTGTAGTTCATCAAAAATAGGTCAATAATACTGTCTAACTGCTGGTTCTCCGGATACTTTCGTATGTGTCTTTTCAAAGTGTCCACAAATCGCTCAACTTGGCCGTTTGATTGTGGATGATACGGCGGGGTTCGTATGTGTACAATGCCATTGGATAAACAAAATTCTAAGAAAGCGGATTGTCGATTGGCTATTAGGGTATTTTATAATGCCAATTTCTGGCCACTTGGATGTAGAATCAACGGCAAGCAACAAACAGACGTCACGAATCGGCCCAGCAAAATCAATATGGACGCGGGTCCGTGGTTTTCGTGCAAACGGCCATGATTGCGGTTCAACTTGTGGAGCTGATTCCAAAGTCATTGCGCATTGGCTGCACTCTCTAACCAGCTCTTGAATGTCCTGATCCATAAAAGGCCAATAAACATAACTACGCATGAGGGATTCCATCTTGTTTAGCCCCGGATGTGCCTCATGAAACCGTTTCAATACATCCGTTTTCAGTGATGTTGGTATGACTATTCTCTCTCCAAAAACAAGAGTCATTTATAATTGACAGAGAATCGCGTCGTGTAAAAAACTCTCGAATTGACGGTTCATAAATTCTCTTTGGTCATCCATACTTCATGAAGTTCTTAATATCGTTGATAGCCTTGTCAGTTTTAGTGGCTTGCTTGATTACGTCTGCAGTTATTCTCAAGCAAGAGATTGCATTTATGAGTACATGCTGAACTTCTGTCTGAACATCAACTGATGGATTTTTTCTGTGAAGCTAGTAAACGGAACAATGCATCAGCATGCCCAATCTCTGAGGATGATTTATGTTCAATCTCAAAATTATACCCCAGCCCACCTTTGTAGTCGGTTAGCGGTGTGCACAGGTATGCCCTTTTTGTTGTTAAAAATGGCCAGAAGTGGCTTGTGATCGGTTTGGAGAATAAACTTTCTCCCGTGGATCATTTTATGGAACTTGTGTATCGCAAAAACAATCGCCAAAGCCTCTTTCTCAATTTGACTGTAATGGCGTTCGGCAGGTGTTAACGATCGGGAGG